CGGTTAGCATCCATTAGAGGAAATCCTCTAGATTCATTTTTCCCTCAAAATCCAGTACGTTCATCTTCATTCCCAGATCGTTGGATCCTCTCATAGACACATCATCTTTACATCTTCCAATAGATACCTCATCTCTATATTTTCCAACAGACACTTCATCTCTATATATTTCAACAGGCACTACATCTCTGCATCTTCCAACAAGCACCTCAACTCGATATCATCCAATTTGACGCTTCATTTATTTATTTTTCAATAGGCACTTCAGCTCTAGGCCCCAGTGGATATTGTACCACAAAGCATTGTGATTTGTCTTCTTCTCCACTGAACTCATCCCTAGATAAGGGATTTTGGTGTTCTTCTTGCTCTCCTTCACGGATTTCACTATTACAGTCGATGGTGATCCTACCTTGAGTTATTTTCTCAATGGCATCGAGCCGATGTAGTACTTGGCGGAGTAGCCATTGTATATCGTCCATGGTAGATTCTTGATCAGATTTTGACAATTGTCTCCTTGGAGCGTGGTTAAGGGTGTTTCAGATGTAGGTAGGTGGAAAGGAGGTATGTTGCGTAGAGGGCTAGAGGGCAAAAAAAAAAAATTTTTTGGGTGATATGAGGGGAGTTAGAAACCCTAGGACATGACTAAAGTTTTGCTAGCTCTGATACAAGATTTAAACCAAATGACAACGGAAATACAACTTTTATTACTAAAATCAAATATAAATTACAACCAAAGGCACTTGAAACTAGGAAATAGTAAAAGACAAGACAAACCCAACTAGGGCTTAGGTCGGGAGTGGTGGTGCTACGATTTAAGGAGGAAAAACATTCGTGAAAGTGGGAGAATTGTCGGAAGGCAACAAGAGAACATTGTGGTTGGATGTCGGATGGCAGGAAGGGGGGTGGTAGCAAGATATGATGACGTGGCTGAAGAAAAAAGGTGGCGGCAAGGTGTTGGAATGGTTGGGTAGGCTCACGGCAACAAGGAGAGGAGTTGTGGGGCTGAGGTAGCGTCGTAGGATAGCTAAACAACGATAGGAAGGCAAGGAAAGGCTTGTGGGACTGCGGTGATGATTTTCAATGACAGGATAGGCGTAGAACAGCAAATAGGAGTGACAGGGTTGTCACTGAGAGGGGGTGCGTGGGGAAGCAAAAGCAATGAAGCAGATGGCTGGGAGCAGCAAGGAGAGACGAAAAGGATGGAGTTGGCAACTGGATGGGGTCAACAGGCTAAATATCCCCATAGAGGAGAGCTACAGACGGAGCACCACTCGTCCTAACAGAGACAATCACATCAAATGAGTTACAACCGAAGCACCTCCTCGCATTCGGATACAGCCTTAAAATCAGAAAACCTAGACGTCGGTGACTGTCCTGACAAAAAAGAATCCAAAAACTTACTTTCAAACCCTAATACAGCACAAATTAAGAAAGGTCTAAAAAGGAACTAAAGCTAATATAAAAGAAAGCATAAGAAAATAAAATAGTACTATTTCAGCGGCCCGTCTCAAGTCTCCCGCGATATATTTTCCCGATGTACTGCAGCAGTTATAGCACCACATGAAAATTGTGCAGGAAAGCTCCCACGTCGCATACATACCATACAATTCATAAGTATTTACCTATCTAACACCTGAACTTTGTTTTTACATTTATATAACCAAATCTTTCAAATCACATCAAAAATCTCAATTTTTAAACTTGAAAAAGGGTGCATTAAAAAGTGAAAAGCACCTTTCATGCATAGGAAAAGTGGTATGTGTGTGTGCACGCGCAATAAAAATTGAATTTCATGTTGGATATGTAAATAAATAGGGATTGAGTGTTATGTATGTAAATCTTCTTAAAAAGGATAATATTGAGATAGAAATAATAATGATGATTGCATAGAAAACACTGAAGAGGATATTTAATTGCAAGTATTTCAAATTTCAAAGTATTCAAAATACAATATAAAGTAAAATCATGCATTCAAATACTTTGACAACATTTGATGAGCATAAAACAAATGCAAAAGATTAATTATATGTATTTTGTTTGAAAGAAAATCAGTTCACAACATTTCATATCACATCTCCCGTTTCAATTTCTCCTAAGAAATGATTGTCTCATCCCGTTTGTCCCTCTTCAAGTTCTCCCAACACAAAAAAACATTCTTCTTCAGCTAGATGGTAGTAAGTTTTACTATTCTGTCATCGAGCACCTCATTGTATTCAAAGATCCGCTCAACGATCGGCATCCACATGAGGAAATCCTCTGGATCCATTCTTCCCTCAAAATCCAGTAGGTTCATCTTCATTATCCTCTCATGGACACCTCATCTTTGTATCTTCCAACAGACACCTCATCTCTGTATCTTCTAGCAGACACTCCATCTCCACATCTTCCAACAAGCACTACATCTCCATCTCCACATCTTCCAACAGACACCTCATCTCTGTATCTTCTAACAAGCACTACATCTCCACATCTTCCAACAAGCACCTCATCTCGGTATCATCCAATCGATCCCTCATTTATGTATCTTTCAATAGGCACTTCAACTCTAGGCCACTGCTGATACTGTACCCCAAAGCGTTGTGACTTATCTTCTTCTCCACTGAACTCATCCCTACACAAGGGATTTTGGTGTTCTTCTTGCTCTCCTTCACAGATTTCACTATTACAGTCGATGGTGATCTTGCCCTGAGTTCTTTCCCCAATGGCATCGAGCCGATGAAGTACTTGGCAGAGTAGTCATTGTATGTCGTACATGGTAGATTCCTAATCAGATTTAGGCAATTATCTTCTTGGAGCGTGGTTAAGGGTGTTTCAGGTGTAGATAGGTGGAAGGAGGTGTGTTGCGTAGAAGGGAAAAAAATTTTTTTTTTTTTTTGGTGATATGAGGGGAGTTAGAAACCCTAGGACATTACTAGAGTTTTGCTAGCACCAATACCATATTTAACCTAAATGATAACGAAAATGCAACTTTTACTATTGAAATCAAATAGAAATTACAACCAAAGACATTCAAAACTAGAAAATAGTAAAAGACATCACAAACCCAACTAAGTCTTAGATCGAGAGTGTTGGTGCTACGATTTAAAGAGGAAAAACATCCAAGAAAGTGAGGGAATGGTCAAAAGGCCACAAGAAAATGTTGTGGTTGGATGTCGGATGGTAGGAAGGTGGGCGGCAGCAAGGTATGGTGAGGTGGCTGCAGCAAGGAGGTGGTAGCAGGGTTTTGGAATGGTTGGGTAGGCTCACGGCAGCAATGAGAGGAGTTGTGGGGCTGATGTAGCGTCGTCGGATGGCTAAACAATGATAGGAAGGCAAGGGAAGGGATTGCGGGACTACGGTGATAATTTTCAATGACGAGATAGGGGTAAAACAGCAAATAGGAGTGGCAAGGTTGAGACTGAGAGGGGGGTGCGTGGTGAAGCAAAAGCAATGAAGCAGGTGGCTGAGCGAGGAGAGAGGGAAAGGATTGAATTTTCGACTGGATGGGGTCAACAGACTAAATATCCCCGTAAATGAGAGCTACAGACGGAGCACCACTCGTCCTAACGGAGACAATCATCACTTCCAATGAGTTACTTCGGATACAGCCCCGAAATCGGAAAACCTAGACGTCAACGGTTGTCCTGACAAAAAAAAAATCCAAAAACTAACTTTAAAACCCTAATACAGCACAAATAAAAAAAGGTCTAAAAAGGAACTAAAGATAATATAAAAGAAAGCATAAGAAAAAAAAAATAGTACTGTTTCAGCGGACCTTCTCACGTCTCCCGCGATATATTTTCCCGATGTACTGCAGCAGCTATAGTACCACATGAAAACTATTTGGGAAAGCTCCCACGTCGCATATATATCACACAATTCATATGTATTTACCTATCTAACACCTGAACTTTGTTTTTACGTTTATACAACCAAATTTTTCATATCACATCAAAAATCTCAATTTTTAAACTTGAAAAAGGGTTTATTAAAAAGTGAAATGCACCTTTCATGCATAGGAAAAGTGGTGTGCGTGTGTGTGTGCAATAAAAATTGAATTTTGTGTTGGATATGTAAATAAATAGGGATTGAGTATATGTAAATCTTCCAAAAAAAAGGATAATATTGAGATAGAAATAATAATGATAATTTCATAGTGAACACTGAATAGGATATTTAATTGCAAGTATTTCGAATTTCAAAGTATTCGAAATAAAATATAAAGTAAAATCATGCATTCAAATACTTTGTCAACATTTGATGAGTATAAAACAAATGCAAAAGATTACTTATATGTATTTTGTTTGAAAAAAAAATCAGTTCACTGTAAACCAGAAAGTAGTGATCAGCAATGATCAACAATAATGATCACTATGGCAAGTGACGACAGCAGACAGCGGTGGATGGTGGCATATGACGGCTCTAGAGGTCAGTGGCAGTGGTAGACAATGGCAAATCGATGGCAACGACCCGCAATGACTAATGGTGATTGGCAACAGGTAGCAAGAGCAACAGCAACGGCTTTCAATAAATTTATAGATAAACCAAATAGATCAATTCCAAAACACCAAAAATGAACTAAAGGATTAGTTTTAAATCCTTCAAGATTTTACTTTTAATTTGTGTCTCATTAAACCAAACACCAATATTTCTAAAATCCTTCTATTTGGAATCCTCTACACCCAAACTCGTCAAAAATCAAAAGCCCCAAAATAATGATATGGAATACTTTACACCCAAAATAGTGATTTGGAATACTTTACGCATAAAATCCCTACATTTGGAATACTTTACACCCAAAACTCTTCGCACCAAACAGCCGCAAAATACTGATTTGAAATACTTACACCTAAAATCCTTGTATTTGGAATGCTTTGCACCCACAACTCTTCAAACCAAACAGCCCAAAATAATGATTGTTTTAAGTGAAGAGAGTCTAAATCTAGAATTAGCAAAAAACCGCATTTTTACAAATAAAGCAAATTCATCAGCAAAAAAAATGTTCATTAAACATAACTTACCCCAAAGCACATTTTGCACCATTGTGCAAGAGCCATTCCGCTTTCCATTCTTATAGCCTCACCAGGGTTTGCTGAAGACAAACCTGAATGCTGAAAGAGAAATGCATCAAGAATATGCTCTAAATGTGTGAAATGCAGTTCAGAATGCTTCAAGTTAATTTACTTACCTGACAAAATTTTGCCACTGACATGGGCAAACAATGACAGGAGCACAAAACTTCCAAAAATCCCATGTCATTCAGAAAAAGTTCTCCAGCTATCAAACGTCAATAAGAAATGGCAACTCCTAGTTAAAGCGTTTTGCAGAAAAGTTCAATTTAAACAGATGTAGGATTCATTTATATTACCAAACTAGTCATAGCAGCGTCAAAAAGGTTTCAGGAGGGACTGAGGTTTCGTTTGGAAAAGCTTTTAAACAGATTTAAGTTTTAGTGAAAGCAATTTTTTTTTCATTCATAAGTCCGTGTGGCTGTAATATTTTCTTAAAGTACTTACTTAAAAAACTGTTTCATAGTTATTATTTAAAAAAAAAAAAACTGAACCAGGCAGAACCCAAGTGTTTCTTTGGAACAGCTGTGCGGATATGCACTACCATACACCATTTGGCTTCCTGAGACACACGTCCCATGATGCTGCATTATTTAGCAGTGTGCAATCAGCCTGTTGACCATGCAACAACAGGCTCCAAACCATTTTCAAGGACCAGTGAAATAGGATGTAAGGAATAAGAATTATAAATATTAAAGAAAGCACTTACTGGTATTCATGCACAACACGCGTGGATGCCCCATAAAAAAGTTTGAGAAAGGAATAAAGCCATGAACGGTAGCATCGGATGGAGAATTTTGAGATGACGGACTATTCTGATGCAGAATGGCAGAGCTACTTAGAGGAGGAGAGCTGCATCTCCTTGACTGCACTCCCATGCCTCCACTACCATCTTCAGAAGAGTGTCTGGTGACAGCTTTGCGAGAGCCTAAAATATGAGAGTGAGAGCGAAGTGGTTTACAGTCCTGCATATCAAGGGCCTTGGAACTAGTTGAGAATAAGGGCCAAGATGCAATAAAGGAAGAAAGGCTTCCATTAAAGATTGCATCACTGCAATGGATTTTTGATAAGGGTGAAATGCAATTTGCTGAGAAACTGTGACTTGTAGACCTTCCCAAGGTGTCGCCGTTAGAAATAGGAAGCTTGGCCAGCCCTAAGCTTGAATTGGGGCAGTGCAGAAGTTCTCCTGATAAATGATTTGAATTGCCAGACAGAAGTGCAAGGAATGAATTGCCCGTCTCAGAGTTACCAGATTTGCCCAAATCGGAGTTAAAAGAAGAAGGAAGAAATGGTTGTTGTGACATTTGACAGTCCCCAAGATTAGCAGCTTGCATCACTCTAGGAGGATAAAATTGTTGTGCGTTCATATTAATCTGTAAAAAAGAAAAAGAGTGAAAAATCTTAAAATTATCCAATTGTTTAAACAAAATACACCAAAAAAAACTGAACCATCTCTCTCTTTATCTATCTCTTCCATAAATACCCAAAGTATATACATATATATATATATATATATATATATATATATATATATCTA